ATACAATATCAGAAATTAAAAGCAGAATGAGAGCCTATGCATTTTAGATTGCGCGCGAAGCAATCAAGCCTAATAATATTTAGTAATTCAAAAATAATACGTTATACAAAAATTATTGGTTTAGTGATATTTCAATTAAATCTCAGGATTTAAGTGCCTAAAAGAATAATAGATTCGATTCAGAAACAGAGAGTCTCAAACTTAAAATAAAATTATTAAGATTTATTAGGATTTTGAATACCAATTGATATTAAAAAAATAAAGAAAAGTTCAAAAATCCTCCGTTTATTTTAGAATCACTTATCCTTTATGGTTATTGTTTATCCCATGATTTTTTTCCATCTAGTCCACCTTCTGATTCTATTAAAAATTAAATTAAATTATCAATTTTATCCTTGTAAAAAGAATCATTGTAGAAATAAGTATTGTATATTGTAATATTTTTTTTCATCCAACTCTGATTGATTTTTAAAATTTATAATGAGAGGAAAATTACAATAAAAACTGTAAATTAACAACTAATTTTGATCTTTAATAAGATCATAATATTCACAACACTTTTAGCGAGAATGAACACATAACTTAAAATTATTATTTTTCTTCTTTTATATATATATATATATATATATATATATATATAGAGGCAGGATCCTTTGACACCGGTGTTAAATTTGAAGTTTGACACTTCATCTGAGAGCTATTAGATCAAAAAAGATCAACGACTCTGATTTGTGAGCATGTGTTACCATTGATATTTTTTGATCTAACGACTCTCAGATGAGGTGTCAAACTTCAAATTTGACACCGGTGTCAAACGATCCTACCTCATATATATATATATATATATATATATATATATATATATATATATATATATATATATTTGAAACTACTTATAAATTTATATATTTTTAATTAAACTGAGTTGACTTGAGTTTGATAAATGTAAATAAAATTAAAAATTATTAAAATAATCAATTTATATGTAAATATATTTTTATTCTGGGTTCAAATATTAAAATAAAAAATGTGAGCCAAAAGTAGGTAATAGAGAAAATAAAAAATACTAGAAAAAATGAAAGTGATTTTAAGCGAAATAATAAGGGGTTTTCGAATTTTTTTTTCCCAAAAAAAATACGTTTTGGCATAATACGGAGCAAGCTACCTTTGTTGAATAATTTAAAAAGAAAACTTGTAGAAGACGTTTGACTTTTTATTTTTTATAAATTGCATTCCTAATTTTGGGATTTTAATAAATAAAATGAAGACTTTTGAAAACTTAAAACTAGTAGTTAGTAGGGGTGATAAATGAATCGGGGGCTTACATGGACTTTTGGCTCGACTCGTGAAGACTTGAGTTTACATGTTTAAAATTGGTTGTTGAAATCAGGCTTAGACTTGTATAAAAGCTCGTTTAATAAAAAGGCCTTAGACTCCAATTCAAAAGCTCGGCCTTAGAGCCTCTCAGGCTGACCTAATATATTAATTTTTTATTTTATTTTATCTTTTACACTACTTGTAATAGCTCTCTTTCTCCTCAATCCATTTCATCCCATTTTATTAGTTAAACTGATTTTTTGAATAATTTTGTTCTATATTATACTGTTTGGATATACATTGAATTTATGAATATTTATGGAATTACTAGTGTTGTTGATTTTATATTATGTTTGAATAAATTTTTATTGTCTTATTTTTTTAAATAGGCTAAACCAGGTTTTTAATTTTTATAAATAAGTCAGGCCACGGGTCTTTAATTATATTCATAACAGGTGACAAGCTTGGTCAGGCCAACACATTTTAATATAGATTTAGTCTTTTAAGACCAAAGTTCTGTTGGGTATGGCTCATACTTCGCATGCTGATGCAGGCCCTAGTTATCGGGGTTATGCGGGCACTAGGTACTGTTGTGGGCCTCTGTTTTATTGTAATTTTCTTAGCAATTTGGGCTTAGGCCCATGAATAGCTGCTGTTAGAGTTTTCTAACCTATTTATATTTTCTTTGTAAATCGAGTGACTTGTAACGAGTGGCTGTGAGGTGAATATAGTACAAATACGCTGGATGTAGCCTATATTGGGTGAACCAGGGTAAATCGCTGTGTCTATTCTCTCTCTCTTTCTTTTCCGTTTTCGATTTTTGTGTTGTCGATTTCCAACAAGTTCGGCTTGGCTCAGCCCGTTAATACTCCTAGTAGTTAGCGTAGACAAAACGGGCTCGACTAAGTGGGTTGACCTCCCTTGCCTGTCAAACAGGACAGACCGAGTTTTACAACCCGCTAACCTAATGGGTTGAGTGTTTGTTTTTTTGTTTTTTTTATTAATGTAAAATAGGTTTAGATCGACGAAACAAGTTTTTCAGCCCACTCTCAAAAGTGAAACTGAAGAGACGTGCCGCCCACTTTTTCACTTCAGACTTTTTTCATCTAATAAAATCTCAAAATTCATAGTAAAAGTGTTTTTCTTTTTTTAAATAAAGAAGAAGCTACCGGTAAACCTACTAGCTAGCTAGGCCGCTATGAGTCAATAGAAGAGAAATTTTTTTATATTTAAAACACATAATCCTAATTGCTTAACAACCTATAAGACGCTTGTTTATAATAAAATAAATTAAATATAGCATACTATTATTCGAGAGGAAAAAAAATCTTAAAAAATAATAAAAAACAGTATAATTTAAATAGGGAATTATGAATCTCCTGTGGTAGGAGGGACGCTGTCTTATGTAGTAAATACAAAATATATGGGGCAACGATTTTTTGGAAAAAAAAAGGAAAAAAACTTGATATGAGTTTTGATCTGTATGTAGAAGAGGAATAGTTTCTCCTAGTAGAAACTATTCTCCCATTTAAGTACCTATTAAGAAGTGAGATGCGATTTAGTTTTTTAAAGAATATATATTAAAAATAAGTGGGCTAGTTTGAATTTTGATGCTGCACTAGAAGAGAAGTTCTATTTTTGTAACTTAATTAGAGATCTTGTTATTTATACACCATAATTCTTACACTATTTTACATTTTTCAATTAAAAAAATAAAAATTAAGTGTAGTAGAATGTATGTTTATATTATATTATTGTCTAGAAAGAGAATGATATAAAAATAAAGTATGAATACTTTATTGCATAAACTATATATAATGCAGACCTATGAAGCACCGACACTTTTCGACACTCTCGGACATTCCGACACTCTCCGACACTTCAACACGCGTTATAGAAATTCAAGAAAATGATTAAAGGTTGCGTTGCGTTAAGTTTTTAGTTTCAACTATTAGATTCGCTGAATTACGATTACTATTTTATTGAATTTAATATAAATATTTGGGATATCTTATGTTTCTTTGCAAAATTTATGAATATTATAATTTTAGATTATTTTTTTGTTAAATTATTGAATATTAAATATAATTTACACTACATAAATAAAAATATTATTTAATATCAAAACGTGTCTTAACGTGTCTTAACATGTCAAAATCTAATATTTTTAATAATTAACGTGTCGTGTCATATCATGTCACGTGTCAATATCGGTGCTACATAAATAGATGCAGACAAGCACGAGATAAAGAAAAAATAATATGGAATCTATATGTAGTAGGTCCTGCCCTCACTTTCAAAGTTTAGGATTGTCGTTCACGATACTTTTTTTTTTGTATTACTCGTTGACAATACTTTCAATAACAATAATGACAGGTTAATATCTTTTCACAGTACATACGTAACATGGGAAAGAAATTTTTTTCCAACCCACACAATAAATAGTTGATTTCACTAATTTTTTTTCTTTTCTCTTTTCAATAAGATCCACATATTTGTTCTGTATGGAAGAAAAGAATTTTGTCATATATATAACATGATAAGATATTAACCCATAATGATAATATAATAAAAATAAAAATTAATATTTCTTAAATTATAGGAAATAAAGTTATCTATTATACATATATTTGTTAAATAACTTTATTGCACAGACCATGTGTAATGTAGACGCAGCATGTGAAAAGAAAAAGTAATATGGAATCTATAGTAGGTCCTACCCTCACTTTACCAGTTTAGGATTGGCATTCACAATACTTACAAATCAATTGTCCGAGTCAAAATTTTCATATCTGAGAAGCACATGGCGTTCAAACTTTTGGAGACTCCCAACTTTTAATGGTTGATTAAGGAGTCCACATGCTGCAGACGTAGTCTTAAAACAAGATATTCAATAAATAACTGATATTTATTTCTCCTACTATTTCATTTTCATATATTATATATATATTTTTATGGCTTTAATGTTTTTAAAGTGAATGTAGATAAATTATCTACATTCGTTCCCAAATCGACGTCGTTTTAGATTGAAAAATTAAAAAATTATAATGAAAAAGACTATCATAACCTTAAAATAAATTATTATTACAAAAATACCTTAATTTTCGCTTAAAACGACATCGTTTTGGACTCAATATAGATAAGTTATCTACATTGACCGTAGAAAAAACCAACCCTTATTTTATTTTAAGTTTGTTTAGACACATAAATAATTTATATATATATATATATATGTTGATTCATACTTATTAATTAATTATTAATTTTCAATAAATTAGAATAATTAGATACATTAAAATCCACGACTAAGATTTGATATAAAATTTATTATTCTTACACCGATATAAATTGATTATATATATATATATATATATGTCCATTTACGCAATACTTATTTATTTATTTATTTTGATACATGCTTATTTAGGTATAATGGCGAGCATTAATGCACAAATCCATTTAATCTTTTGATAGAATATTCCACAATATCAATTAGAAGAATAACGACAACAATAATTGAATTTTCCTAGTGACGAAGCTATCTGAATGGTTTTTATTTATATATTTAACATTTTTTGCAACATTTAAGTTTATCTCAAATTATAAGTTAAATGAAATCCAAGTCAAACCAGAGATAAAATTGGACTACGAATCTTCATTGTCACGAAGACAATAATTACTGTTATTCACTTTCTATCATTTACACAAGAAGATATTTTATTCCAAACAGAAAAAAATTAGCAGGAACAAGAAAAAGGTTTGTGAGACTGAGCAGCAAAGACAAGTTGGAATACCAAAGCTCTCAGTTCTCAACAAGAGGCTAGCTACTCCTGGGGGAATTTGAGATATGATAAAATTAAAACCATACAATATATTTGAACATATTCATGGATGGAACTTTGATAATAATAACAATCTATAATAACACTTGTGATTGATTTCACCATTTATAACATCAAACTGGAACAGTCCTGCTAGTAGTGGCTTGCTGCTCAGTAATCTCATCACCACCTTCATCTTCATTCTCTCTACTCAACTCCTCCAATGATTTTCCATTTGATTCTGGCACCAACAAAGTGAAAAATATGCCAAGACAATTAACCACAGCAAGCACAATAAGAGTGTTCTTCATCCCAATACCAGCAGGGTACCCTGCATCTCTCTTTGTTCGATCCTTGTCTTGTGAAGCATATAAGAATCCAAATGCACCAATAATTGCTCCAGCTTTCCCTGCAGCTGCGGATATACCATGGCATGTTGACCTCAACCTTGCAGGGAAAATTTCAGCAGGCACAACAAAAGTGGTTGAGTTTGGACCAAAATTTGCAAAGAAGAAGGTCAATGCATACATAACAAGAAACCCAATTCTGTGACTTTTCTGTGACCAGTGATTATATGGAAGAGCAAGTGCAAACATGAAAACTGTCATGAAGAAGAACCCCATGATTTGGATGACGAAACGACCAATTATGTCTATGAAAGCCACTGTGAACCAATAACCTGGAACAGTACCACAGAGTGCTATAAGTGCTGTTGCTCTAGCAACCTTGTAAACCTCTTGAATTGCATTCATGTCTTTTGCTGGAGGGAGCCACCCAATGTTAGAGTAAATGTCTTTTTGGAAAAGGTTTGAACTGTAATATGCAATATCAAGAAGGAACCAACATGCGCAGGTTCCAAGCAAGTGAAGTCCATGTCTGCGTGCAAATTCCTTGCTAAACAAACCAAAATTGTTGTCATCTCTTATGGATATCGCATCTACCTTTTCTTGCTCAGCTATAATTTCAACTTGCAACACCTTTGACATATCTAGTGCTGCTTGTTTTCCATTCTTGGCAACAAGTGCTGTGTACCTTGCTGTCTCAGGCATTTGCATGCGCCAGTAGTAAGTAAGAGCAGCAGGTACAGCACCAAACATCAAAATTATGCGCCAAACATAATCAGCTTGAGGCACAAGTGATGCTGCAGCGTTAACTGCATATGATGGAGCCTTGTATGCATGATTGAATGCAGTTGCAACTATGATGGAAACAACAGCACCAACCAAGATTCCGAAGCCTTGCATAGCAAAAACTGAAGCTATGAATGCCCCACGAGTCCTTTTGTTTGCATATTCAGACATGATGGTGGCAGAGAGAGGGTAATCACCACCAATGCCAAATCCAAGCCAGAACCTGAAGAAACATAGTGTGGATATGACACTCTTTGGAGTATGGCCAAAAGAAAGGCCAGATGCAATAGAGGACACAACCATAAGGGCAAGTGTTAGGCCATAAACCTTTTTCCTTCCCATTTTGTCTCCAAGCCAACCAAAGAAAAGTTGGCCTGCTAGTGTGCCACAAAGTGCAACACCATTCACTGCAGCAGACACATTTGGAGGCAGTGTTCCTGGCTTTGGAGCACCTTCAACTGTGTAGTATATTCTACCAAGCAACTTGGTAACATTTGGTATGGTGAAAAGATCATATGCATCTGTGAAGAATCCCATACCAGCTATGACAATAGCAGTGAAATGGTACATTTGTGTTTTGGCTGCATCGAGTGCATTAAGCACCCCTAAGTTCTCACGAGCCATGGCTAGATTTGTAAGCTGCAACTAGTACTCTTTATCCAATGTTCAAGAATTCTGGCACAGAAACAACAAGTTATATAAGATTTAGTGTTCAAGATTTCCAAGTACAAGCTATGCTTATATGGCTATTAAAATATCTTAATATTGCAGCAGCGGTCCTTATATTTTGTTTGATTGTCCATACTACATGTTGGACTTTGACAAATAATTGTGTACTTAGAATTATTCAAATTGAATAGACCACTAACGCGTACAATTTTCAACGCAAGTTGTTTTCAAACAAACCCTGAAGGAAAATACAAAATGGGACTTTGATGGTAACATTGAAAAGGAAGATACACATTTTTTTTCTATGGTCAATGTTATCAGCCTTAGCTTTAACTAAATTCATGATGATGATGCCAATCTCTCGTATGTGTGAGAAGAAAGGAGCTAGCAATACTACTACTTTGTATTACTACTGTAGTTGTGTAATATAAGTAGAAACAATTGAAATATAACATATAAACACATATTTAGTTAAAGTCAGTTGTGCATGACCAAAAGTGTTGTGTAAGAGAGAGGGAGTACTAACCTGATTCAATATATGAAATAATATGCACAGAAATTGGGACACAGAATTGTGTTTTCTGTGTTGTGGATGAAGGGAAAAGATTGAAAGCAAACAGATATATATATAAAGTTCAACTGAGTCTCATCCTACAAAATTCCAACACATTGATTCTAATCCACCACGGCATCTTAGGCATATACTTTAATTTGATTCCTTTAAGGTTTAAATTAATTAAAAGTCAACGGTTACGCCAACTATACAGAACATGGTACACTTTTATTTTAATTTTTCCACGTTCCAAATTGCATCTTAGTAATGTGAAACTGAATTTATTTGAACACTTATGGTGTAATGATTTGAAGGGTAGACTTGGACTTTGTCATTCTTTCTTGCAATTGCACGTTTACACCTTTCATACGTTACGTGCCTGCATTCACTCGATTTTGGATTGTGTGTAAAATGCTAAAAAATATCTTACAACTATGAATTATATGATACTCACCTCCGAATTTTAAAAAGAATATGATAACAACTTGAAATTTGCTAAGTAAGATAAAAAAAAATAATTAACTCTCCGTCCATGAAAGTTCTATTTCAATATAAAAAAATTATGTATACTTCACATAATTACTTAAAATCATGATAACTATTGAGGAGTATATAACTATATCGCACACGTTATTCCTCGTTACATGCAGTGATGGAGTCAAGGAAGGATTAGGGTACGTGGGTGATTGTCACCCATCAAGCTTATACAAATTAAATATTTGTCTTAGACCCCCCAATAATTAAACTTAAGGGAAGGATAATACAGCACAAGTTCGCACCTGTCAACTTCAGTTTTTCTAACTTTTGTTTTATTATTCTTTCACGTACAAAGAAACTTTAAAAAATTCTTCAAATCCAGCTATATATTAATCCATTATATCATGGTACCGTACCCAAGTTATGTGACTTTTATTTTCTTTATATTATAGAATTTACTGACTCTGCTATTAGCGTACTTTAAATTGCCTCTATGATTTGCATTGCATAACACACACTTTAATTTTGCTATAATGGTTTTGGGTGACATTGGAGAAGACTTGTCTCAAGGAAGGTGGTATACTAAATATTTGGCGGCAGAAATTACAATTTATAACAATTAGCAAAGAAAAAAAAAATCTATCATTAACATAAAATATATCATCCATAAATGACACCAAATAAGTGGCCACAAAAAAATTAAGTGTAATTTCCTTCATTATTAGGGAGAAAAATATTGTCATTAATGGACATATTCCATCACTAATTAGTGAAAACTTTCTGTCATTAATTGCATGGAAAACTTTCAGTTGCTATTATTAAGGAACATATTTTGTCTAAAATAAAAATGTATTTAAAATATTTAATTAAAGTATCATTTTAGGTATTTCCAAAAAAAAAAAGTATCATTTTAGGTATAGATTCATTTTAGAAATATAGCAACCAAATCTAGTCAAATTCACATTGTACAAATTCTTAAATTATGCCAATAAAAATCAATTGTTTCGAACCGACATACAAATATCCAATAGTAACTAAAAATTTCTTTTTGTATCAAACATTAAAGACAAATTATATCCAAATAATTAACCAAGTTTCATGAAAATAACAAAGTTGATATAGTCAACTCTAATAAAAAAGAAATGGAAACATCAGAAGTTCTGCCTCAAGCTGATCATCTTCAACTTCAACCTTCTCATGCTTTTGATTATCCTAATCTGTAGGTGGAGGTAGAGGTGGAATAGAGTGTAAACACGACCAAGAGAGAAACTCTCCATGAACACGTTATCCTCGGATGTTCTAACAGTATATGTCTCCGTTTTTTTAACTAAGATATTCTTTCTTAATTGTTGTGAGACTAATAGTAACTATGGTCATGGAGATTATTTGAAATATGAAGTAATTTTGTCGCGAAATAGTTTTCATGTTAGTTAAAAAAACATTGGCTATACTTAACTGATGTCGGTAACCGTGGTTAAAAATAGCTGTTTGAATTTCAAGATCGAAGGTTCAAACTTTAAAAAAGTTACCTTTCCGAAGACCTTTTTGCCTTCGCCACACCCGAGATAAAATTGCGAAAACAATATATATACGCTACTTATATTTACAAATTTTTTTAGAGTAGAATTATATTCACAATTTTTTTTACAAACTTACAGATTGTATTATATTTGATTGATAATACACTTTTAAGTAGAATATTACCAGTTAAACATAGTGTAGTTTGTAAACAAATTTTTTTGTAAATATAACTTTTTTCAATTTTTTATATATAAACTCTTACAAATTATACTGTGTACTACAAGTAGTATGTGACAGGTTATATTTATAAACTTTTTTGTTTACAATCTCTTACAAACTACTCTATCTTCTTCTGGAAAAACACTAATTATACTATCTTCTCTCGGGAGAAGATAGTGTATTTTGTAAAAATTTGTATAAGAAATTTGTAAACTGATCCTTTCCCGAGTAGTATATAGTATAATTTGTAAGAGTTATATATAGAGCAAAGTTATATTTGTGAAATCTTACATACTACACAGTGTACTAAAGTAATACATACTACTTGAATATATACTATCCATAATATATAATATAATTTATAAGAGTTTGTATATAAAAAATTTGCAAGACCATCTCCTACTGACTCAAAATTGCATGTGGGCTCTACGATTAATTTTTTCTCGCTCCATATTTTTCTCCCTCTTCGTCTGTAACGGATAAGTGGGAAATTAAATTTCTTTCCGGTAACATCACCATAAATAAATAAATAAAAACGTTGTATCATAGAGCCCAGCATTTTGATTTACCACGTAATAGTTTCTTATAAAATTAACTATCTTATACATGGATAATGAAACAATTCCCACTTTGATATGGTTTGCATGCGCATGATGATGTTAGCAAGAATTATTATTGTTTTATGGGTTATGATGTTAGTAGGATCCGCAAAAATGATAGTTATCCAAGTATACATCATCATGCGCATGTCAATGTCACTAGGCTCGTAACCCAGCTAAAATGAGTTGAGTTTGGTTAGGAAAAATGAGTTAGTAACTCGAGTCAGTCCGACTCGTTTCACCTCGAAAAAAACCGAGCCAACTCACAAGTCAAACGGGTTGATTCACGGGTTATGGTGCTTTTTTAATATAAAAGTATAAAAATTAATGAAGGTAAAGTGGAAAGCTAAAACCTAAAATTTCAATTCCAAAAACCCAAACGAAAATACCTTGTAGCTGCCAATAAGTCCAAAACCATGCATTAATGACTTTTTTATATTATGTGTGACAGTGTGAATGTAGTGCCAACTGCCAATAAGTCCAAGCCCAAATGAAAAAATAATTTTCTATGATTTATCTGTATAATGTCTTTGTATTGAATGAAATAATAATTTAGGAAAAAAATTTAGAAGTTATAGCATCAATGAAATTTTATTTTATTTTCCATTTTTTCGAGTCAACCCGCGAGCGAACCCTAACCCGACTCGGGTCGGGTTGGGTTGAATTTTCTGGCTCATTTATTTTTCAAGCCAATCTTAACCCGGCTCGTTTTTTTCCGGGTTGAACGCAAGTTGGGTCGGGTTGAGCCGGGTTGGCCCGTTTTGCCAACCCTAGATGTTAGTAAGAGTTATATTTTTATTATTTTATACTATTATTTAATTTAAAAATTTAAATGAATTATATTAATGTATTTTTTATTTAAAGGGAAAGTTTACATTTTATGGAATAAAGTGCTTTTAATAGTTAATGACAAAATTAAAAGTTTGAAATTCTATTATTTTATGCAGTATGCAGATATTTTTAAATTCAAGTAAAATAGCTTACCAAAAAAAAGTTCAAGTAAAATTAAAAAAATCTATAATTTAAAAGATAAATTCTTAAGAGAGAAAATATATATAATTATAGAGAAAATTTGTATAATTAATTCAAGTATAATCTAAAAAGTATAGAATATTTAAAATTAGAAAGAAGACATATATAATCAATTCAAAAGAAATAAAATTTAATGTTTAAAAGAAGAGAAATTACGAATAACAAGTGTCATTTCTTAAAAAAAGAGCATATGGAGAGATACCCATATAATAAACTATGAATATGTAATAATTTGTTTTTATTTTCTCATAAACTATTATAGTTTTACAACTGTAATGCCAAATCAGTGAGTATTTTACACCAATAATTGAAACGGTGGTCAACGAATTGAATTCTATTTCAAAAAATTCATGGTGGCAACAACAACCAAAACCTTTTTTATCTCACTTTTTCTTCTTAATTATTAGTATTTGCTTGCTCCCTTAATGGTACTAATCCACGATATACAAGGAATACCAAAAAGACAATGACCGGAGGAGCTTGCTTCTGGTGAAGGCAGCAACTTACACTTTTTTATAGGAATTCAATTGAATTGGACAAAAGAATATATAATATTATTCTTAAACTGAATATTTTGATAA